CTAATCCGTTGGGCTATGTCGGTCACTCTAGTTCTACTGCCGATGTCCTTATTTTTAAGTTTATCATGCAGGAAACCTCGAGCATAGTCGTCTCCGTAGCTCGCTGAGTGACTTTGAGCTTCCTCATACGGCCAGCAGTGATGGATTTTTTAGGGTAATATATTAATAGGGTAATAAATTATGATTTTATTATTTAATAAAATTATGGCCAGTTTTTGAAAGACTGATCAAACTCGGACTTTCCCACATTCGTGTTTTTATTAGACCAATAAAAACACTAATGCGTCAGTAGCTCCATCGGAATAATCGGTTATAATATCAAACCCGAAGTCGACATAGCCATAATGCCGTTGGCTGCTAGCATGGTATTCCATCAAATGCTTATTTTTCATTTCATCCATGACCAAGGTACAATTTTTTTTAAATCAGGGTTACTCTCCGCTTTAAAATATAATGCCGTCAGCGCTTTTTGAGTAAACCATGGTCGGCCATTGAACCACTTAGTCAATGTCTGTGATGCAAGCAAACATATTCCAAGAGTTTTATGTTTATGTTCCAATAGGCTTTTAAGGTAGGCAACAGTTTTATATAACGAGTATGAGTCGGACTCTCGTACCTTTTACAGAGGAGTATGGTTTGCGATGCTTGTATGATGTTGTTGAATTTGGTTTAATACTCAAAGAAAAGGATGTACAGAGCACGAGTATGGAAAAACCATCTATATTTCTTTCTATCCTTATCGCCGTATCTAAAACTTAGTGAACACTTTGGCCGTGTAAACTTATAGTAGGGTGCTTTGGGGATATCGAAATATTTTCTTTCTTCTTTTTTTTATGAATTTTTATTTTTTTGTATTTTTGGAAATCGGTTCAGCTTTGACGCAGTTATGGAGTAATATCGAAAAGTTTTCTTTCCCTATGCTGAAGAATAGACTCATGTGACCACAGAATTGTGCAGTGCTTAATATAGGTCTTAAAAGTTTGAAGAAACCTCTTCAACTAGCTTAAAACTATCCAATCACGGCAACGCAAGGTGCGCGCTGCCGTATAATCATAACCTTAGATGTTTAGAACCACTGGATTCTATGTGGGGTAATTCCGAAAATTCAAGTGAGCAAAACATAGTTGAATTAGAAATATAAAGTAGATACGAATAAAAAAGACGTACTGAATTTTGTTAAGAAAGGACTGATGCACTATATTGGCGGCGGTGCAAGTATGTTTGCGTGCTGTAAAGGGTTGTCATGTGAAACTAAATTTTTCCATTTTTTCAATGAAACAATCTGTCAAAATATAACATAACTTTGACGAATACTAATTTATTATTACGTAACTAATTAAATTACACATTTGACGATTAAAACGTTCTAAGGATTTACATTTAGATTTTAGATTGAAATCGAATCATTCTGTTTCGATGGCTTAGGTGTAATAAAACGTACTGATTTAGATTAATTTATTACAAATAATATATTATACAAAAATTGTATTACATAATTGGAACGAAACATATTAAAAATAGGTAACCATAAACCTTTGTTTTCGACTGAACGTTAGTAAAATATAAGACGTGATGGTGTTAACTAATTACTAATGATGGGCAAGATTCTTTTACCATTAGTAGGGAACCCAAAAATGATAAGAATAGAATAGAATCAATAATTTAATACAGATTACAAGAATACTTAATGACAATCCAGCGGAACTTATTTTATATAAAATTAATTTAAAATTTATTATTTTATCACCTCAATCTCAGGGATTATTATCAATCATGTTGTCTTTAGTAGTATAGCCTAATAATCCTTACTAAACCTTACTAAACTTTTTGCTCAGTAAAAATTTTAAACCTTGATAGATAAGGCCTGGATATTATCTGAGACCTTGTTGTGAAAGCGTATACATTACCCCATGAAGGAATTACTGACTCTTTTGAGTCGAGTAACTGATATGACTAACTTGTGACTAATTTTTGTGTGTCCTGTTAACTATTTTTAATAAAACTATTTTTGTTTTTGTGTACACATTAAATTTTTGTAAATATACTGAGTAGCCGAACGCGCCCTGAGAAAAGCTCACGACAAATTTAGTTGGTTTTTTTTTTAATTATCACCTTAAAGTTAGTGAACCGTTAGAGTAAAACCTTCCTAAATTGCACGTGTAAAATAAAGTTATTATTTATGGCAGTAAGTCATAACTAATTACCATAATTTACGAAAGTCCTTCTTCCGTTGTGTATAAATCTTTAGTATCGAAATAGACGCTGCAAATTACACTCGATTTGGATGGAAGCTAATCGTTTTCGTTTCTACTCTCTCTGATTATATTAATTAAGTTTTTTCTCCATACTTCATTGGTTTTAAGAAATCTAAAAAATACAGGCTGTTAGAGTAAACACCGTTATCCTTGATACCAGTGGTTTCATTTTTCATTTTTCATTCAATTTTTCATTAATTCCTCTTTTTTTGCCTGTCCTGGGTGCCAGCCAGGGTGAAAGTATGAAGGAAAAGTTACATCACAGGTTATTTGTACCTATTGTGTTTTTATTGGAATGTTGTCTAGGTAGCTAGGGCGGGTGGTGATCTTTACAGTGATTACGTCACTCAAGCGCATAGGGTATCCATGAATTTACGGACGGTGTCGGACAGAAACTTTTTAAATTTTATGAAAGAAAATAGCGTTTTTTTTAATTCGGATAAATATTTTTATATTAAAGCCAACTACCTGTGGTTTTAGTGACAACGGTGTTTACACTTACACCTTGTGTAGACCTTGTGTAGTAATTTTCAGGAAAAACGAAAAAGTGCTATGTGAACTTTTTTTGTTATAAAAACCATTATATAATATCACTACGTGGTAGAGCCATGCTGCAGTTATATTAGTAGTATAGCAATATTAGTAGTATAGCACGAATGGGTCGGCTCGACCGCGGAAGGACCACGCTCTCACAGAATATCAGCGGTAAATAGTACCTTAATGTTGCTGTGTTTTGTATGGTGAGTGTAAAGAACCGGAGACCCTTTTTACTGGAAACGAGGCATTCCATCTTAGTCCTCACGGGTGACAACACGGTCTGCATTTTGATTCGTAATCTAGGATAGATGTAGATGTCTATGGGCCACTGCAACCACTTACCATTAGGTGGACTGTGGACATGTTTGTCACCCCATCCTATGAAAAAATAAAAAACAAATTGAAGAGGTTGTTGGGCAAAAATATATACCGTATCCTTGCCTACGTAGGTAAAAATAGCAATTTTCCAAATTTCGTGTAATTTTGCCTACAAATAATTAACAACACTGATCACGTGACTTATATTTTGTGTTCAAAAACTAGCATTTTAATTTAAAACGTAAAATTTTCAAATAAGCAATTATAATTACAGAAATAATTATGAAAGGTGATTCCTTGATGTTTTTTGAAAAAACCACTATGATTTTTGCAAAATTTAATTACGGAAGAGTGCATAATATTAATTTTTGTTTTTACTTACGACAACTACTTTTCGCGGACGACGTTTGTTGAATAATGGCGGGTGCTGGACTTATTATTAGTGTGAATGTGTGTGTGATCCCTTATACGTAGGTACGTACAAGGGAGCTGACTTATTTCGGGTGCTTCGCTGAATTGTATAGCGAGATTAAGTCAGCTTTTTTATACGTCCATGGTAACTGTCAATAATTTTTGTAGACTGTAGAGGGGTATAGACGGATGAAAAGTAAATTCAAACCTTCTGTCGAAAGCCAAAATGATCATTTTACCAAATTTTCTAAATTACCTCACGTAAAATTGGAATTATACCTTATCCAGAAAAAAAAATACAACGTCAAATTTTAAAAAGATCGTATTTACGCAAAGGCATTTTATTAAAAAGAATACAAAATTAATTAAAATATGTATTTCAGTTAATAAAAGTGACATGATTTGGTTGTAAACTTGTATAGTGTTTTTTAAATAATTATTAAATTTGCTTCGTATCGACTAATCAGAAAATATGTCGGATTTGCCCCAAAACACCTTGCTGTTAATAGCATTGCTAGAATTTATGTTCTTAAAAAAGGTTTGCATCTTGGCTAAGGTAGACTGTGTGCTCGTTTGTCACCCTTTATCTATAAAAAGGATGTCGAGTGCCGTGCAGAGTGAGCTGCGTATTTGTTTTCTGAAGCTACCTGTCGCGGCCAATAGGAAAGTGGAAAAAAGAACTAAGAAAGTATGAACTATGAATGCAGGTGACAAAACTTTTTTAATACAGAACTCACACGTGATCTGGTCTTCCAGTTCCTGCATGGTATTCATGCGGCATAACTCTTTACGTTCCTGTAATTAGGTTTCCCGTAGATGTCGTAAAATGTGGTAGAGAGAAACTGAAACAAGAAACAGGAAATGGTAACTGCTATTGCCAATCTGCCTACCAAGCGATTCAACTGTGATGTTCGTCTAAATCAACTAAAATGTACCCCCTATAAGGCAATCTATGGGAGAGATCTATTTCCAGCAGTGAAATTTGATGGGCTGTAATGATGATAATCAACCATTTCTTCACCCAGTACTTCCTTATATTTTAATAGTAAATAGTTCAAGGAAACTGTTGAAGCTATGTCAATTCTTGGAGTTTTAATATTGTTAGCGTCTTCTTTATTGATGCATACGGTACAGCCTAAGTTACATACCCTAGCCTGTACCTACGGCAGGCTAAATGGTAAATACTCTTATAAGGTTGTGATCTTAGTCTTCAGACGTGGGAATGATTCTGTAGTAAGAGTTGGTCGCAGGTTTTTGAGCTGCAGTAGCTACTTGATCTCTTGCCGTTCGTTCATTTGCACTTCTTATATTAAAATATATAAAATCAATATGATAGTGACGTCATTCGTGAACTTCAGCTTTACATACGTTGATTAGAGAGGATTTACATAGTGTTATGCTTGCTTTGTTTTGTATTTTATTACCTGGCAACATTGAGAAAGAGTAAATGAGGCTAGCAAGTGGCAACATTATTACAAAATGTCCGACGCCAATTCTGAAAATGACGTTTTAGAGCCGCCTTGCTCAAAGAAAATTAAAATCGACGAACAAAATGAGAACGGCGTGAGCGACAGTCAATTGGAATTGAAAGACTTTATTCCAGTTAAAATTTTGAACAATAATACAAATAGGAAAACAGTTTGTGTCCAAGGTACATTTAAAGATAAAAGTGGTGTGGCTTTAGTGTTACTCGAAAAAAATGCTTTCAAAGAAGAAGAATTGGACGACAAAGGATATTTTGCAGTAGATACGAAGCTGCGAACATTTTTTCAAAACGATATTTATGGTAATTTTGAGTGTTTCCCGCGTCCTGAAATAAACGGTGAGATACTTTTACCTTAACTGTACTTTCTAAATTTCAAGGTTTCCTTTATTTAAATGTTTAGTCATTCAAGTTATATCTTTATTACCTATCATTGTATTATTCTCCTCTCAATAGCGTGAATGAGACATTGTCTTTCATTTCATTTGTTATCAAATTCTATGTATAAACAAATTTTGGTTTTTATATTACACTATATTACTGCATAATATTTCATCACAGATTTCGTTACGAAACATTAAAATCTTGCTTAAAAGTGAAAGTCAGATAATTCACACATAAACTAATTGACTTCAAAGAATCTTGAAAAATACTTTATTGTCTTAACTGAGTAATGAGGTATTTCCTATAAATGTATATAGTAGGTATATGTTTAACAGTTTTAAACCATTTTTAATTAATTGAGTAGTTTAGATGACATAGATAATTTAGTCAGTTCATTAAAAATTAAACGAGACAAAGATACTGAAATTCTTTGTTTTAGAAATTTTTTATCAAAGTTTACTTAACATATGTTTCAGTAAATGTATTTGTAAGTTTATGCGATTTGATTTAAGAGATATATTAACATAATTATATAATAACAAAATTATTTAACATATAATAAGTAAAACTGACTTCAGAATATTAAAAATAATAAAATGTTTTTCAAAAAAGAGAAAACATAGTAGATAAGAAAGCATAGTATATATTCAAATTAAAGACAAAAGAAGTCAGTATCTATTATGTGGAAATTATTTTTAGTTTTTTGAATTAAGCTTTGACTTTATTAAAAGTTTTTTTAACCGTTTTGAGTAGACCGGGGAATATCACAAGCTCAAGGTAACAACTATAGTCTTGTGTAGTTTGTGAATGATGAACTAATAGGACATGTATCTTAGCAATGTACTAGAAGAAATGTTTCTGAACATTGATTGTTAATTTGTCTAATAGCTCTTTTTGAAGAAGCCCTCCCCACTACCCTTCCCCCTTGCAGAAATGTACAATAATGATTATTTTGTAATATCAAAACCTCACTTTTTACACCGGAATATTAACACCCTCAATGCCAGTGTATCATTTTTGCACACTTTGTTAAAACATAGTGTATCAAAAATGATACACACGACCTATTGCGTTCAAAGCGTTGTGTACCAATAATGAACACGCTTTTCATAGATTTTGTACTAGAAATTATATCCTCTGGCCTGGACGATTGGTTTGCTATATTTGGGATTGGGTTATGAGACATATGCCAAAAAATATTGGTACTGGAAAATTGAAGGTGAAAAAAAAACTCATGAATTAGTTTCTACATAATTATATTATATATAAAACAACTACAAAGAAAGACACAAAATAAGATTAATTGCTAATGAGTTTTGTTGAAACATTGACGACATAAAAAAAATTACACGCTGAACATTTTGTGTATATTTGGGGTGCTTTTTTATTTTTTCCTGCAATTTGTATTCCTGTCCTCCCATAAATTTTATAGCACTCCAAACAACGTCCTCGAACTTTCTTATCTTTTACAATGTTTTGGACCAAATAATGCTTGTCGTCTGGTCTCGATCGTGAAGGTCCGTCAACATTCGTTGAAGAAATTCTCTCCAGCAACGCATCGATCACTTTTTCACGAAATTCCGTGATTGTGAGTTTCTTTTGAAGTGAATTTATTAGTTGTACAGGAAAAAAAACACTTGTTTCCCAAATTATTTCAAATGCTAATTTGTGGTACCATTTGGTGCAGCGTCGTAAGTCTGTAACATACGTGGCCATTTGGTCGCTAATATCTATAGAAGATTTACCATTATTGTAGTGAGCTATAAATTTGGGTTTAGTGTGCATTGTGTTCGTATTTCTGCTATTATTTGGCACCATTTCAAGAGCAGACATTTTCGTGGTAAGCATCCGTACGTCGCGTTTATCACGCCAGTTCAGAACAACTATGCCTTCATTGCTCTGCTTTGCAGCCATTTCTCCTCTCTTCAATTTGGCCTGTACCACTTCCTTTGGTAAATATTTTCTATTAACCCTTAGAGTTCCTACTAGATGGGTTTTTCTATTACGCAAACGTAAGGCGAGAGGAACACTGGTATAATAATTGTCTGTGTACGATGTTCTTCCTTTATCTAAGAGTTCTTCTGCCAAAGACATAACTGTTTTTTCTGAGACTTCAGTTTGCGGGTCTCTAGATTTGCCACAGTAAACAGACGAGTTCCAAGTATATCCTTTTTCTGTACATAGCTTGAATACTTTGATACCGTATTTTGCACTCTTATTGGGTATATATTGCCTAAACAAAAGTCATCCGCGCCAAGGTTTCGTCGACACATATTTTTTCCCCTCCCGGTGTGTATGTTTTCTTGTAGTTATTTATAAACTTGTCAAGTATATCTCTCAATTTGTAAAGCCGGTCATTTGGGTCAGCTAACGTATTATCTGAGAAGTGAATAAATTTGAGAATCAACTCGAATCTCTTCCTAGGCGTTACAGTTTGTGCTAATGGAATATTGTAGAGCTTATGAACGCGCCAGTAGTCTTTTATCGATGGCTTCACCAATCCCATCCAACCAATGAGTGCGAGAAATTTTTTCGTTTCATCCAAGGTAACAGTAACCCAGGCATGTTGCCTAGAACCTGAAGGAATATCATTTGACAGTAGTTGCTGCGTGGCATATAAATTCGTTTGGTCTACAATATGCTGAATAATGTCGTTAGTCATGAACAAATCGAAATAGTCTATTGGCGAAGCATTAGCAAGAATGCCTGAGTATACTTCTTTAAAGCCTAAAATAGGCCCGGTATATTCCATGGGCGTTGGACCTTCTTGAGTAGGCATGTGCCACTCTATTGAGTCGAGTTTTTGTTTTAGCCATTCGGATGTTGTACCAGAAAGACTTGGCTCATTATTACGAGTAGTAAGAGTAGTTGCAGATGTACTTGACATACTAATTGTAGCAGATGATGTACTTGGCATATTATAAGCGTCCAAATCTGTATTACCTATTCTTCTTGCAGAAATCCTCCTCTGAACTTCAGGTAAAGGGGGCAGGTCGCTCTCAGTGAAGGTCGATGCTCGCCTAAAAGATAAAGGTGGATTCCAACTTTTGTTAGCACTGTCACTCCGAACGAGCCGTCGCATTACCGTCACTTGGATAATAATCCGGATCACTTTCGTAGTCCATTTTGATTTACTTTTCTCACTCACGTTATTTACGTTTTATAGAATATCTTATAACAAAACAAAAAAGGAGTTATAGAAAAACACAACAGTCGTTGTTTTTCTAAAGCTCCTTTGTGATTTCTTCGTATTTGATCTGAAACAAATATAAAATAATCAAATAAAATAAAACATACCGTGTATCCAAAATGATACACATGGCCCACGAGATTGGTTAACAGAGAAATGTCTTTCATAGGCCAGTGTATCATTTTTGATACACATTCCTGAAATCCTGAAAAATGAAAGCGGTGGGGGTGAGGATAAAATATAACAGTAAAAAATATAAAAAATGCATATTTAAGCAAAAAAAAATACATTATTAAAAAAATGAAATTTTAAGAGATTGGGCTTGGCGGTGAAGGTGTTAATCTAAAGTTACTTCTGCAACAGCTTCAGTGCTATGGGAGGTGCAGCCCCTTATCCCTTGTGTAACAAATTACTGGCACCCATGCCCACCTCTGCAACTTTGGCTTAATTAGCGCCTTCAGCATTCAGCCTCAGCCACTATGGCTCGCACAGGGGCTGCTCTACCCTCTGCGCCTATGACAATAAAAATACTAGGGGTAGGGCAGACAAGACTATGTGGAGTCGTGCCATGCTGATTTGGTCTTAAAACAGATTCGACCAATTTTATATATAAAGTCAGGTTGTTCTAAACTCTTCTATGATAGTGGTAAATGAAACAATGTAATGTGAATTGTTACAATTTTGTTTTCTGGGAAACCTCCTAACTGCTCTCCACTGCGAATCTAATTTGTTCTTTGTTTCCTATCTCCCCATTGATTATTCAATTGTTTAGTTTGTTGCGGTTTCAGCTCATTAATTCTTTGAAAGTGTAAAAACTTCACATCAGAATTTGATTTCAATAATGAGGGAAAGCCTTTAACTAGCCATTCTTAACCATAACTTTTATTTTCAGGTGTGAAAACAACAATTATCTACCCAGCTACTGAGAAGCACATAGCTAAGTTTAGTCAACAAGAAGTTCACATTATATTAGAGACACCGGAGTTGTACAACAAGTTGACACTCCCCCATATTGAGAAGGAGCAGTTTAATTTGCAGGTAAATTTATTCATTTAAAGACGAGCAACATTTATTAATATGTATCAAAGGTTTATACTGGATCATCTTTTTTACCATCTGGAAATAATTAGGTTGTAACATGTGAATGGAGTAGAAGCCTATGGCACTGATATTTTAGAAAAAATAAAAACAAAAATTTTGAATTACTTAATTATATAAATTAATTAAAATCTATTGCAATTAAAATCATATCCACCCTAGCCTGTGACCCTGGGAAGTGACAAGGTAAAAGATGCCTACTAAATTTATTGTTTTATTGCCATTCATAAAGTGGGGTGTTTATGATTTGAATTTCAATAGATTTTAATTATTTATTTAATTCAAAATCTTAGTTTTTATTTTTTGTAAAGTATCAATGCCGTAGACTTTAACCCCGTTCACATGTTTCACCCTATTTTTTCCAGGTGGTAAAAAGGTCACCCAGAATGTATGCATCATCCATTGTTATGGTCATTACGGTCCTTCATAAGTCCACTGCTGAACTTGGGCCTCGTCCAATTATTGCCACAAGGGATGGTACCAAGTCGCCTGCAACTATTGACTTCCTGCGACCAGGTTGTATCTCCATGTCAGTTACTCTAGTTCAACTGTTCATATTATAGTTATAACCCCATTATTAATAAAATTAATCCAAACCCAAGCATACAACTGCAAGATTTTTAGGATCTGTTAGCTTGTTCTGCTTATTAAAAGCTGAAGGTAGTCCAGGTTAACTATAAAATATCAGGTGTCAAACACAGTTCTTGACACAAACAATTTTTTCTGTCAAGAAATTCTCAGTAGTAGCCTGGAGATCAGAGGTTGGCGGTGTTTGATCTCCGTGTTTCGGCAAGCACTAAAAGCCATTGCTTCTGCACCTAATATATCTCTGCTCGTGTCAGTTTACCGTCCCATCAAACTATGAGACTGAGGGAAAAGAGAGTGCACTTGTGCTTGCGCATATACCTGAGCTCTATAACCCTATCCTGTGCAGATGGCTAGTTTTGTTAAGACTGGCTGCTATGACCGCAATTCGGTCTAGAGGACATTATTATAATTAAAGCACCCGTAACATCGGGAACTAAAACTAGATGTAAAAATAAACATAAAAAATAAGTTAAAATCAAAAGTTGTTTTATTGTTGCGTAGTATTCATGTAAATATAGGAAATCATCATTAGACTCCTGTCGCTAACTCTTGTTTGTAATTTTTGTTTCACAATTGAACATGATTTATATTATTAACAAAAGGTAATGCTTCATAGACTTAGCGATAATAGAGATTTATTGTCTATCAATTATTTTTTGTTGACTACACAGGAGTAACATTTCTTAATTGGGACTTACAAATAAGAAAAAAAGATTGCGCACATTTCTTTGAATTTCGTGAACAGTTTTATATCATTACAGAGATAAGTTTTTCTGTTTCTGTTTCTAAATATATTATTTTACACTATCAGTTTTATTGTTCATAGTTTTTTAATCTAAATTAGCGATTTTAGCCTATTAATCTGTGACAATACCATATATTCTTTAATTAACCCCCGACGAAAAAGAGGGGTGTTATAAGTTTGACTGCTATGTGTCTGTCCTTAGCACCGTAGCTCTTAAACGGTTGAACCGAATTGGGTGTGGTTTGTTTTTTTTTATTTAAAAGCGGGTTTTCTAGCGGTGGTTCTTAGACATGTTTTATTAAAATTGGTTCAGCCGTTTCAAGAGCATCAGATTTTTGTTTTATAAAATTTTCAATTTAAGTTATTAATGAATTATAATGAGTATAAAACCAGTATTCAATACTTATCTTTTATAATAAAAATTACGCGTTTTGCGTTACGATAGGGCAAATTTATTTTACTCCGATATGACATTGTTGACCTTTAGCACATTGTAATTTTTAACACCTTGCCATACTTCAAATCGTTACAACAATAGTAACGATGTTATTACGGTGTTCCACAGCAACCTCGATACCTTCGAGTGAGTGGTTAAGACTTTACGTGACAGTTGACAAATCCAGAAAAGAATCTTTTAGCTGGTAAGTACATTTTAAGTTTCTTCATATTTTCTCTTGTTTTACTGTTAATCAATTGGCAGATCTCTTCACACACTCAAAAAAATTTGTGGTTTTTACTGTAGGCTAGTTCAAAATGCTGAGCGGGAGAAATGTCAAGTGTGTAACAACCACTGAAATTTAGAACAATCTACAATATGTTTATTAATATATTTGCGAACTTTTTTCTTCTCATATATTTCTTAAAGAAATGATGATATAATCTCGAAATCAATTTTATTTCATACTTTTCATTAATTAATTTCTTACTTATCATTATAATTTATAACTAAACTAAGTTTCGCTAAAATTAAGAGAAACCAAACTTACTACACTCAACTAATGCAAAGTGGATATTGTGGGCAGTATGGTATTAATGGCACCATTTCCAATTTATGTTAATTAGTATCATTTGTACTTTTTCCAAATAGTACATATGCATATTGTGTTACTTAAAATATACATACTTTGATATGAATTCTTCCCCTCAACATTTCAAACAGGTATTAAATAGTAAATTTAGGTTGATAATGGAAAATTATCTAAAAATTAGAACACATAGAAAATTAGATTTTACAAGTAGCAAGCAAATTATTTATTGTTTGGTAATTTAATAAGAAAAAATATTATAATGTTTTCGTTTTCAGATAAATTGCAATGGATTCTGAAGAAATAATTATTAAACCAGAGGAAAAAGATTTAAAACAGTTAAATACAGATATTGAAGCATATAGAAAACAGCGCGAGAGAGCTAACGAGAGAAAGCGAAGATTTCTGGAGAAAATGACACCAGAGCAAAAGGAACTAAAGAAAGCAAAAGATAGAGAGTATTACCACAGGAAAAAAGAACAAAATAAAAAATCGATTACAGATTTGTCAGACGAAAAGAAGGAAGGTCTAAGGAAAACGTGGCGGAAAAATTCGAAGAAATATAGAGACAGACAAAAGGCATTCGTAACTGAGATCATGAGTAGACCTCAGTCCACAGTTAACAATGGTATCCGAATACCTCCAGATATCAAAACAAAGGCAGAAAAAATAATAAATAATGAGTGATAGAAAAACTAAATAAGTGTGTGATTTAAAAAAAATCAATGAAAGATAATGAACTATTAAAACATTTGAATAATATGTCTAATAAATATAACAATAGTGGTGTATAAAATATGTCAGTGGTGTTTTTTAGCTTATTTAAGTCAGAATACCCATTGCATATGACAATAAAAATTATTTTAGTGTAACGATATGTTTGCTTTAAAAGGCAGTAAAGTAGCATTTCAAATTCTCCCCAGCCTTCTTAAGGGTTTTAGATTGTGGGTGAGCCCTCACATCTCTTCGATATATTCTTGTCTTTGTCAGACATTTTTTCTTTATAGAATAAGGGTGACAAACGAGCACACCGTCAACCTGATGATAGGTGGATGCTGTGGCCCATAGACATCTACATTTATCCATGACATGACAAACAAGCAATAATTCCTCACAATTGATTAAATCATCTTGCATGTATAGAGTATAGATCATTTATTGCTGTTAACAATTCATTTTCAGTAATTTAACGCGAGCGTTCATTAATATTTAGTATTGAGAAATAATTGTCTAATATGAAATAAGAATAATAATCAATATGGTCAGATATAATACAATTAGTAACTTTTCTATTTATTTTGGTTAGCTTTACCCCCTCTCAAATGTTGGTCCTTCGAGTCGGATTGCGCCCCCAATAATATTATAATATACTGAATTAGCCGTGTGGTGTCAAGAGTCGTCTATGGAAAATGCTTGAGAAATCTTATGACTTCAGGTAACCCCCTGACCATTACTATGACGGTCTGGCAAACAGTTGTCAAGAAAACGGTGCCAGACTCAAATTTTCATTGTTTATTTACTGATCAAACTATCAAATAAAAAGAACACTTACGTTTTATATCACATTTCCCAGAAATCAACATCAAGCCGAAAACGGACAATAGGCCAAGTCGTGACAGTTATTAGAAAAATATTTAAAAAAAAATCTTGGTCAAAAAAGTTCATGTACTTTTCAAATTATAAGGATTCAAAATTAAATCTCAAAACTGACAACCTGTGATGATCTTTCCAAGTCCTGTGACTACAAATATTAAATTTTCGTTAGTTTTTTTTTTCTGTAATGTAAATGTAAATACAGTAAACACGAAAAAATCAGACAAATAGTTCGTGATACAGGGGAGTTCGTGTAATCCGAACAATGCAAAAGATGAATTCGTGTTTCTAAACTCAATATTATGATTCATCATAGAAACATTTTTATTAATAACTGGTATTATTATTTTATATTTACAATATTTTTTTATTATAAAATTTCAACTTAACATTATTATTATTTTAAAATTTGAGGTATTGTTTCTATTTTTAGGTACTCGCGTGAATGTTTGATATCCTTTCTAATTTTGTTTGTTGTGTCTAATTTTAGAAACTCGAGTTAATGACTTTTCTAATCTCTTCAGCCATTGTTTACCGGTATTTGTATTGATCGAAAAAGGACAAAAATATACAAAATACATGATTTGGGAATTTTTATAGTTCGTATTATCCGATAATTAACCGTGAAGGGACGAAAAAGTTGTTCGAAGTTCGGATTAACGAGGGTTCGTCTTAATCGAACATAATTACATTGAAGCTTATGGAACTATTGTCTAGAGCAAATTTTTGTTCGCCTTAAACCAAAATTCGTGTTAACCGTGTTCGCATTAACGAGGGTTTACTGTAAATAGCACTTCCGTAAATTAGTTAAAAATTGAAACATAACTGCTTCCGTTTTATATAAAATATTAGATTTTTGCCCACACATTTAATTCAAAATAATTACATCACCCAACTTTAACCGACTGTATTGTAAAAAATGTACTATACTATTTTGGCTAGTAACTTCAAAAGATTGCGTATTTAGTCTGGATTCCAAAATGGTATAA